CGCTGACACAAAGTGCGTACCACTGCCTTCATATTCCTATTAGCCGTGTCTATACTTCGAGACATGTTTGATTTAAGGAAATTCAATTCTCATTTATAGAGATGATAAAATCACAAACCAACCAAATTGAGACACCGATGATACTTGTGCATCATGTGGTCACTCTGATTATGGTTCTTCCACCGTAACCTCCACCGAGTAATTGATCCCTGAGCACAGACCTTCACCATCACCAGACATCTCCACCACAACAATCCCTTCAGGTATCGTCTTCTTTGTCTATCTCTTCTCCTTTCTCCTCTTAAAATCATGATCCGACTGCTCAACAAAATGGGCCTCCAACCCCAGCCAAGCAAACCCAAACTCAAAATGAGCCCATTGCTCCACCGGAAATGAATCGCAACCCATAATTCAGAAATAGACCCTCTTGCCGTCCTCCGCAAACCCTCCACTGCGACTCCAATCGCCACAAAATACCCAAATCACTCAGCCCCAGCAACCACCAAATCCCACACCCGTTGAATCACCACAAAATATCCACAAAATGAGAGCTCGTGCCAAAAATAATATAACCAAGCCCAAACAAAAGCTCAATCTACTTGTTACAGGACCGAGAAACTCAAAAGAACCAACAACAGTTGTTAAAGCACTGAAAAACAAACATTGGCGAGGATCTATGTTTAAAGAGTATAATATGCAAGTCATCAATCACTTGTGGGATCTGGTACCTCCTCATCCGTTTCAAAATTTCATCGGTGTCGTTGGATATTCACCATAAAATATCATCCCAATGGTCAAATACAGTAGTATAAATCTCGGTTAGTTGTGAAAGGGTTCAATCAGAGATATGGTGTCAATTATGCGGAGACTTTCATCTCGGTAATCAAGTTGACAATCATCCGCTTGGTAGTCAATGTCTCGATGTTGCTGTTAGTCAATCCTGGCAGATCAAACAGTTGGCTGTGAACAACGCCTATCTTCAAGGTGAGCTTATAGAGGAAGCATACATATCTCAGCCTCAGGGATTGTTGACAAAGACCGACGCCATCATGTCTGTCGTCTACGGTAGCCTCTGTATGGCCTTAAGCAAGCACCAAGGACATGGTATATGTCTTTAAAATAGTATCTACTAGACACAGGGTTTCTTAATTCTCTTGCAGATACGTCGCTCTTTGTTCGACAGAATGGGAAACTTTCACCTACATTCTGGTCTATGTCGATGATATTCTTGTTACAAAAAATGACTCGAGGGTGATAGTTGCGGTTCTTCAATCATTTTCTCAATGAGTCTCGACTAAAAACCCCACTGATCTCACTTACTTCCTCAGAATTGAAGCAAAAAGGTCTGCATCTGGTCTGCACCTAATGCAACGAAAATATATTATGGATTTTTTGGCTAAGAATGATATGACAGATGCAAAACCGGTTACAACGCCTCTAGCTTCTTCTACCAAACTCACTCTTGCAGGTGGAGTGCAACTCGATGATCCAGCTCAATATCTCTCTGTTGTGGAAAGTCTTCAATACTTAGCTTTCACGCGACCGGATATTTCGTATGCTGTAAATCGCCTGTCTCAATATATGCACAAGCCAACAACAGACCATTGGCAAGCGGCTAAATGTGTTCTATGATATCTTATGGGAACTCCTAGTCATGATATATTCCTCAAAGCTTCATCACCTCTTTCATTACATGCTTTCTCGGATGCTGATTGGGCCAGTGATGTTGATGACTTTGTTTCAACAAATATTTATGTTATTTACCTTGGCTGCAATCTAATATCATGGAACTCTAAGAAGCAGCGTGATGTTGCTCGTTCTTCGATGGAGACAGAGTACAGATCTGTTACAAACACGACTTCAGAAGTTTGGTGGTTATGTTCTTTACTAACAGAAACTTGGTATCACTCTACCTTCTGTCCATATTATATATTGTGATAATGTAAAGGTAACATATCTTTATGCCAATCTAGTTTTTCATTCAAAAATGAAGCATATTGCACTTGATTATCATTTCATATGAAATTAGATTCAGGCAGGCATGCTACGGGTTTCTCATGTTTTCACTCGTGATCAGCTCGTAAATGCACTTTCCAAATCGCTTCCTCTCACTCAATTTCTGCAAACATATTCCAAGATTGGAGTAACTAAAATTCCTCTATTTGAGGGGGCATTTAAGGGATTAGTGTATATATATATGTACAGTAACGGATCCACTAAAAAATAAAAGTGGTCAAATGACACTCCTTAAATTTTGATATAACGATTTTTGTACATAAAAATTGAGAAAAAATCAGTAGTATATTTGGTAAATAATGCTTATTGAACCCTCTAAACTTAGGTTTAGTTGATAAATTAACACAGGTTAAATACAATCATGGGTTCGCTACTATATATGTATAGGAGTTTAATTGTTATTAGTTGTAATTTAAAGTCCACTTAGAATCTGTATAAATACTTGTACATCTACTCTTAATAATATATAATATTCAACCTCTATATTTGCTAGTAAGATCAAATTACACTTTGCAATAATATTTTATGTTTACATATACGACGTGTTATGCAAAAGAATATATATATATTTTTTTTGATCAAACAATCGAATATAATTATATGTTGGTAAATAAGAGTGTTTCGTAAAGCACTAGCGAACAAATGTTTTCGTGTTGTGTATTACTTGAACATTGCGGTTTTATAAATAACAAGTTTCATTTCTATACCTTTCAAATTACTTTCAAACCATCGTTACCTTTTTTCTCTTTTTTAAAACTTTAAAACTTTAAAACATTTGGACTGAAACCTACAGTTTAAGATACTGTTGTAGATACTATCTCTGTGCCGATCTGTGCCGACAAGTGGCGACCAAAAAGAGAGGAAGATATTTCTATCTTTGTATATTACGATATATACATACGGTAAGAAAACCCCTTTGGAGAGGAAATACTACGTGGCGTTGTCATTGAGGATCTTGGAGCAATAATGTAATGAACCAAACGGTTAATATTATCAACTCATATGTAACCGTTACAACAACACACGTCATGTGATTGTGACCTCTCTAAATTTGATCAAAACTCTGGTTCTACAAGAAGCAGAACCGGGTCTATCCAATAAACCAATAACTTAGCGACACACACTCTTTTTTCTTTTTGGAATTTCTTAAATTTGTGATCCTCATTCGGTGAAAAAGATGAATAAATTCTCTTTTCTCTTCTCTCTTCTCTCTTCTCTCTTCTCTCTTCTCTCTTCTCATCCTAAATTCTCAAGTCTCCAATGGTACTCTTTTTTGTGCCCCTAATGAAAAACGAGAATATATTTTTCTGTTATACTAAATAATATAACAAATAGTATTATTGGTATAAGCTAGTAAGAGTCTAACAGATAATGGTACCAAAAGAAGATAATAGTATGATATCTTAATACAGCCATTTCCTTACTTTTTTGTTTCTTTTTGGGACAAAATGCCTTACTTTTTTCTTCAATATGTTAGATTTTAATTATTTTCTTTTATATTGCTACTTATTACAGAGTGGTAACGACAGCTTTTGCTCACTCGTTAATTCTAACTATCATATCTATATCGAATCTGTAAACCGGTCAGTATCTTATTGTTTCCTCTATTTAGTTGGTTTACAAGATGGACAATAAAATTATGTTCTTTAAACTATTTCTTTGGTTAAAATATTTTTATCTCTTAACCTTCAGAGCAAAATTGTGTTTTTAAGGTTCAAAAAAAAAGAATCATGTTTTTTGTTTAAACATACAAATGTAAGAAATATTCGGATCTTTTTAACTTTATTTTATTATTCAGTACTGTTGTTTCCGGGTATATTTTGGGTAATTTCCTCTATATATATTTATGATATTCGCGAAAAGCTGACCAACGAACACATAGGAAAAACAATTTGGAATTTTGTGGTGAATCTTTATCCCTAGTCCTATATTCGAAGTAACACTCCTTAAAATAGATAAATCCAAGAAACTTTAAAATCTTGTAACTATCCTTTTCATAAAGCTAATTGTCCCCATTTTCTTTTACTTTTCCTTTCAACTTGAACTTTCTGAAACATATGCAAGTTGACGAAAAAAAAATGCATGCAAGTTATGAAACAGACGTGTGTCGTTTAACTCATAATATGTGGCCGCTAGTGGACGGACCTCCCTTTGCAATTTTTATGTTGTTGTTTCTTTCCATGAAGCGTAATATTATTATAAATGCTTGACGCATTTGAACTATTCGACGAACACTTTGTGAATCCGATGGTTGGAATTTTTTTTGTTTTTTTGTCTAGATTTTTACCCATGGTGGGAAGGTGAGGTGAACACATTAAATGTGACTAGGTAGCCAAGGTGGCAACCACATCACAATAAGGCTCTTGTCAAAAGAAAAAGATCTTCTCTCGACCAAGTTTGTGATTCTTTAAATTATTTATTTATCTAGCTTGTTTACAAATTAATTTTCTTTTATAAAACCAATTGTCTTTTTTTTGTCAAAAAATTATCAATATCCTATAGATATATAAACGGTACTTATCTATCTCTTTAAAAATATTATTCATACGGAATCGGTTGAAATTCTCCTTTCGAATATGTCATAATGTTTTTCTTTCTCTTGGTGTTAAAGAAAGGTACTACAAAAGAGTAATCGGAATTGATATCCGAAAATATTTTTTAACAACATATGATATTAAAATATAGTCACATACTTCACAAACACTGTGGTCTACCAAGTTGTCTAGATTAATGTTTCCATTTAAGTCCTTTTCTTGTTCCATGTATAAACGTATATCGGTAGAAGTGGCCGCCTCTAGACCGTCTTTCTTTTCTTTTTTTCTTGTTCCCCTTTTAATAATAATAGCAGATAAAACACACGACAAGTAGACACACATATGCATACGTTAGGTATAGTGTATAAAATATAGTTTTTTTATATCTATATAATATAGTTCTTACGCTCACCACAACGGATGGGTTACTCGTCGAACACATGAAGGGGAAGCATTCTCATGGAAAACAATATTACTCGGCCCACTCTACCCAACGATTGCGACTCCGGCGATAGCAAGCGAGTAAGAATGTCTGATCCAGCATTTACCGATGACGGGGAAGGCAGACATGTCAAATTACCAAAAATTGAAGAAAACGGTAATAGTTCCACTATATGAAAGTCACTAATTTCCCATTTTGCACAAAACTGTAATTGTTTTAATCAAATGTTTTTTAATATAACAACTAAAAAGGGAAAAACTAGATTAATTGTTACTTAAGTACAGTTTGTAAGCCTTTTTATTTGTTCAATACAGTTTGTAAGCATTTAAAGCCAATTTTTGTTTTATTGGTTACTAACTTTTTTTACGTTGTTAATAATCAAACATATCAATTTATTATAATCAAACCCTAAAACATCATTTGTGTTTTTAACCCACAAAAGTTCATTTGTGTGAAACTATACCAGAAACAGTTTGTGAATAATTAATTATTAATTACTATGTGTTACGTGTTAGTTTCCATAATCAGTCTCGACATCAATATACAAATATAAAATTTCCGTTCATTTAAATCTTAACGTAATTTCAAAAGGAAATATTTCAACTTTTACATAGTTTTTATTTTTGAAATCATATGAAAAAAAAAGCACTAAAAATGTTCTTCCATTTGAGGACTAATACATTTTTTTCCTCTATGGAATCAAAGGAGACGTAGGGTCGTCATCGGAAGCAACACATGTCACTGTCGACTCACTAATGGCTGACGTGGCAATTAACGGTCTAGACGCAAAAACAAACGCCGGCCACGGAGTAGTCTCAGTCATGGGACGGCAGAGAACCATGACAACCGCCGTTGCCACCGTCGTCGACGAGATTCCGTCGTACAATCTTTTTGGAATCTTTGACGGTCTTAGGCTCGCTAAATTCTTCGAGGAGAGGCTGCGTCGGCTCGTGAAGGAGGAGGTAACGGCATGCCACAGTCGCGGGGTAGCGGTGGACTGGCATGAAGTGATGAAATCATGTTTTTCTGAGGCGGCCGGGACGGTGGGGATCGACACAGCGAAAGCGGTGGTAACAGTTGTCGGAAAAGAGGAGGTGGTTGCGCTTTGCCGTGGCGGTGCGAGGATGGTTCTTTACTCTCACGACGGCGTCGCTTTGCCTCTTTGCCATCTCCATCACCACCTGGTAGGTTATTTTCTTGTAATTAATCTCTTATAAATTATATATATATATATATATATATATATCTTTGGCATTATTTTGGACCGAATAGATGGTACAATAGTTGTTTCCTGCATTATTTGTTTTTGTTAATCAACAAAATATGATGTTCAAATATAATATTTTTAATAATGTATTTTATATATTTTAAAAATGTTTCCAAGTTTTTTTTTTTGTAAAAAAGGTTCAAAGCGGTTTAGTCCAAATCAAAACGTCTGTTCTTGTCAGTCTAACAACCAAATTTTAAAACAGTATGCGTCCAGCGTCTTGATATAATTTCCGGGACTGAAACTAGCAGTATATAAATAATCACTCTGATCAGTCTTGAAGTGTTACAAATTCCGAAAACAACAAAAACTTTTCTTCCACAAACTAGATGTAAGTTTTTTGTTGTAAAAATTTTACACAATAAGTTTAAATTAGGGTGGCAGAGTAAACTTATCCATATTGTCTAAGTTAATAAGTATAGTATTATTTTTAGAGAGCTTAGATTTAGAATTAGATCGTCTCTACCAATCTCATGATATCACAAACTCTTTAACGTAATTTTCAAAAAGCAGAGCTAAGGTTAATCAAATATAGATTTTTGTTTTGCATCTAACCAAATAAATATTTTGAAAAAAAAATTGGTACAGACTGGTGTGGATCAAAAATTGAAGATTCATAAGCGAAGAATGAAAGATGATTTCATTGTACTTGCATGCGAAGGCCTATGGGAAGTTGTCTCCGACGACGACACATATCAGCTTGTCAAACGTTGTCTTTACGGCAAATCACATGACGGGTTAGAATTCTTTTACTATATTAATTTTTCTCTTTCCCAAAAAAAAAAAAAAGTTTTTCTGCAATACGAGTATAATATTAGGGGATTATGTGAGTTTTATGATTATAATTGAACTTTTCTCCATTTTATACGTGTAATTACTACTACAAGACTAATGATCGATCTTAATAATAAATACATTTTCTAATAAATTTGACAGATGTAAACCTGAATCAAACTCGACAAAGGCTGCGGTGATATTGGCAGAGCTTGCAATTGCTAGAGGAAGCAAAGAAAATATTAATATCATCGTTATTAACCTCAAGAACTCTGCTGTTTCGTAGCTTTACTTCATTTTTGGTGTGCTTCTCAATTAATCTTAGGTTTTTTTTTGGTATGAGTTAATTATTATTATTTCTCTTTTCGTTTATATTTTTTCAAACTCTAGTTTTCCATTTGACATCCTTTTTTATTTTATTTTTTAGTTTTATTTTGGGGGTGTTTTAGATACTTCGTTGTGTCTTATTATTTTGTGTTTTGTTAGATTATTAATTTCTTTTATATTCACTTGTATTTGATAAATTGGGAGTTTGTTTTCTCACACCCCTGCTTTTGCCAGTCTCCACCGATGACAAGGTAGTATATTAATGTACCTTAAAAGTATTGAATAACGTCATTATTATTTAAGAAAACAACTAAACTATTTGATGGGGAAAAAAGTGTGATGTTTTAGAGGAATTATTGTGGTGGGGCACAAAACATGCCAACCGATCCGCTCCCAAAGTCCCAAGTGCTGTCTTAACTGAGTTGAATACTTTTATCAGACTTGAAAAATCCAGAAATGTAATTTGAAGAAACAACAACTAAAATATAACGTACAAAAAAATAATTTGAAGGAACATAAACCAAAAAGGAGAAAAAAGCTTTCTTCAATTACAAGAAACAGAATAGCCTAGTTTTCCTAGCCTCAAATCTCACCCTTTGTGTACAAACTAGAGAATCCGTCTTTCTCATCCCTCTCAAAGATCTAACCATTATCGGTATACCCCACACCGAATGTTTTCAAAAGTAGATGAACAAGTTTACAAGCTAGTAAACCGGTTTCACACACTCAAATCACTTATACTCACTCCAAAGAATATTTAGAAACCAAAATATTTGCTGGAGAAGCTGAGTGAATATAGACAAATTCCATGCTTTGACCTGCAGGTAACGATTGCATCCATGATGGAAAACCAAATGAATTTCCGGTTTTCGCCACGCCCCATATTGGACCATAGAGCTTGGTGATTGATATCTTCAGATTCTTCAACGTTTTTGTAGATCTATTGGTTAATCTCGTTGAGTATCGGTAGTAAACCTTACGTTCGTTAACCCATGAGTTCGTCATCTTCTGCGATATGGTAATGGGACTAGGAGACGAAGCTGCTCAACCAAGAAATAAAAATTAAGCAAAATTGTTTAGTTCTTAGACCAAATTGAATTGGTTTGTCACAATGAGTTGGCGTAATAAATGAAAAGATGTCAAACCAGGAGGCGTAGTTGGTTTTCTTTTCGGTACCGGTGCTGGTTTTATGATAACCGGACTCGGAGTCGGACTAACACCTGAAATAAAAACCCGGTTAGTTATGACCGGTTGACAAAATTGGCGAGAAAGTGGGAATTCCAGTGACTTTAATTGGTCAACAAAAATTTACTTCCGGTTAGCGAAAAGTTAAAGAAGAAACATTAACAAAAATATAAAAAATGTAATCCGTAATATCTTACCAGGAAGTAGTTGGTCAAAACCGGTCGAACCGGAAATTAACCGGGCTAGTACACCAAGAAGAGGCGCGTTGTTGTAAGTCGCTGGTTCGGTTTGCTCGTAATTGTCCCGTTGGTCGGCAAAGTTATCGTAGGCGTCGGGTCCACCCACTAGAGCTCCGGTCAAGACATTTGGATCGCTTCCTTTTCGACTGTACCACGTGGCATAACCACCTCGACAAGTTACAAACTTTTGATCGACTTTAAAGGAGACAATGGACGAACCACGGTGATGAACTTGCCGAGGATAGTTTTGTCCGTATCCTACCATGTAGCTCGTCGCTCTTGGGTTGTCTCCGAGAATGTAATCCACCTTATTAATTTTAATTAACTGATTAACTGATTAGTTATATTTTGACAAATAAAATAAGTATATCTATCTTCAAATACTGTAGTAACCCCTTTTGAATAATTTATTTATTTTCCCTATGGTTAGGATACGTCTTGTATTCAAAGATACGGTTTAGGTTCCTGAATTAGGTTTTTGAGCAAATGTGGAAAAGTTTTGGGGCAGACCTGTGATTTAGAGAAATCTAGGAGTTGTGATGGAGAAATGTTTCCTTGAGAACAACGGAGGTTTCTTTTGGAGGAAGAGAGATAATCGGAGTAAACAGAAGCCAAGAAGGAGGCACTCGTGACAAACTGCATATTGTTCCACCGTTGCCGGAAAATCAAACCGCCGGGAGTTTTCTGAATGTTCTTCGTGCTTTTACCCAACAGTGAACACATATACTGTTCAGCTTTCTGTTGGTACCTTTCGAACACGGCCGTGTGTTCTCCAGCTTTTCCTTGCATCAAAACCTATTGTATTTAAACCAAACAAATCCCCGGTTTAGTAAAACCAAATTTAACTGAACCAAATCAAATAAACCGGGAAATGCACCGTTTTGAAGTGAATATAACCTTAGCGACAAGGGTTTGAACGCCGGCGTATTTAACGTCCCAACCAAACTCGGTCATCGACCAGCCCGTACCGCCCATCGAGTCGCCGTTTTTACCGAGGTAATCCAAGTAATATTTATCATTTGTCGCTTGGTATAACCACACAGCAGCCCACAGTAATTCATCCTGGTTAAGATATAAAAAATCGTGTTTGTCAAAAATTTTGAACTTTAAATAACGTTTTTATTTAGTTTAAAGCGTTTTGTACATTGTAACCGCTAACGGAGCGATAGTACTTCTGTGCCACGGTGATGCTGCTGTCATATTTCCCCCTGTATTTGTCCGCGAATTCAAATAGCTGTCAACATAAGAATCGTTTCATGTTCAGTGGTGAAATCGTAAATGTCATGAACTTAGGAGGTTATTTCCACGACCATGTGCTTAACCGAGCTCAATACATATAAACCGGGATTTAAAAACTTGGTTTCATATTAAATTCGGTATTTAGTTTTTGATTAATGTGAATGTGGTTTAAGGAACCTGATGAGCGTGGCGGAGTAGCTCGGCAGAGTATGATGGATCAGAGCGGCGGAAAACTATGGAAGCTGCAGTCATTGCGGCAGCGGTTTCTCCGGCGAGATCCGAACCGGGGTTATTCCGGTCGATCTTGTAAGCCCGACGGTCAGTGGTCATTTCCTCTGGCCTTTGCCAACAATAATGGTCCGACTTGCCATCTCCCACCTACACAGTTACAAAATATTATTAAAACCGAATTTATATTCTAAATAATGTAAATAATCAAGTTAATTCATAAATGAAGATTGCAGAAAGTGATAATTGCTTAGTAGAAGTGTTACTATCTACCTCTCCGTAAAGGACGTTAGGTTCAGGATGGGCTTTGATGAAATAATCAGTTCCCCACTTAACGGCGTCAATGGCATTGCCAAGTTCACCGTTAGATTCAAGCTGGCCACCGTATTCAATGATGCTCCAACACATTGTCGTCACCGTGAAAGCCATCGGAAGACCAAATTTCACATTGTCTCCGGCGTCGTAATATCCTCCTACTAGATCCACCTGCCCAAATTTTTTATTTTATTTTACTTAGCTATAAAATTTAAAAGTTAAAACCATATTATATATTAATCTTAGGTGACCAGAACCATCTAGACATTTTCATTTTGATCATATTGGTTACAAATGGGTCAACGGAAAGTCAAAAAAATTAAACCTAAGTACGGTGTTAATATATTTATTATCTAAAATTTAAAAGAACTTAATAATCACGTAATTCAATATAAAAAAAAAGGAAAGCAAGTCCGATTAATTGAGAGTTTAATCGATCATGTTTTTTTTTTTGGAATGTTTTAGCATTATAAAAGTCATAATTTATTAAAACAAACAAAAAAGGGGAGCTTACGCCGCTGGATTTGCCGTCGTTAAGACCGGAGTGAGATCGCCATGAAACTCTCTGGTTGGGAGGGAGGTGTCCTGATCTCTGAGCTTCAAAGAAGAGAATGCTTTTGCTAAGAGCTTGCTTATAGTCGTGCCCTGAAACTGCGAACTGAGCTAACCCAAGAAGAAGGAGAAGAAGAAGAATTGAAATGGTGGATTTAGAACCCATTAATTATATATTTTCTGAAATTATAGAAAAAAGCTTGATCCTTTTCAAACAAAATGACTCAAAAGAATGTATAGTGGGTCCTGCTCGGACTTTTTAAATTTTATTTCTTGGATCTTTGTATCAATCAATTGATCCTTTTTAAATAGAGAGATGGTTTGGTGAAGGAAGATGAGAAAAAGAGAGAGGGAAGAAAGTGAGGTGGTCTGTTCATCAATATGTTGATCCTTGTTAAATAGTAAGATAGCGAGATATGGTTTATATGAAAGAAAGTAAAGGAAGGTACCAGGAGGACAGAAAACGGCAGAGTAGATTAAATGATATTAGTTTTTTTTTATCATATTTCAAATTTTTATTATGGTATGAAGTTGTAGATTTTTTTTTTCTTCTTTACATTACTTGTACTGCTTTGTGTGAATGTATCAATGTGTCGGCAGAAAAAGTTTCAGTTCAACTGTCGACTGAAACAGTAGTTTTATTTATTTCCCTTGATCTTCACAAAAATTTGAAATCAAATAAATCTATTTATTGTTTGAAAAAAAAAATCTATTAGATAGTGGCTCAAACAACCAAGAGAGGAGTCGTCTTTTCAAGCTTGTGAGATTATCATAAATTTACAAAGGAAATTTGATTACAAACCAAAATTAGAAGCATGTTGTTGAAATTTAAACTTTGTAAATGCAGTGATCTTCTTCTACATCTTACGTTGACTTTCAGTATAATAGATTTAATTTTTTTAATCAATTTCCAAAGAGGACAATAATAGTTGTCCTTCCACCCATTACGGAAGCTCCGAATCTTCCATGCATCTAAACAAATGCCATAAAATATCACATTTGTTGTTCTTTATACAAAAACTGAATATTTTGTCTTTTTACTCAGATCTTAATTTTTAACCCACACTTGAGGATTTGATACCTTTATCATAGAGTGATTTACACTCAAAAGGTACTTTTTCCACTTCTTCTTATAAAAAGTTACTTTTAACTATTAAGGGATTTTTTTTCTTCTTTTTAAATTTCACATCAAAATAATACAAAAATACCCCTCGTGTTCACGATAATGGTGGATACGAGTTCGTGACACTTCTAACTATTAGGGGACTTTTTTATTCTTTTTAAATTTCACATCAAAATAATACAAAAATACCCCTCGTGTTCACGATAATGGTGGATACGAGTTCGTGGATACTGGTTTAAACCCAGATTTTAAAAACAATAATTTTTCTTCCCCTTCTGTTTTGTTTTGTATTTTTCTGTATTGTGAAATATATAAAATATTTTTTTTGTTAAAATGAATTCTAATTTTATTTTGTCATTGTTTTAAGACCCATTATGCTATACTTTATTAATCAAACAAGAATTTTTTCAAATAACCTTTATAAAAAATTCAAAAAAAAAACAGATATCTACTTAGATATCCATTCACAAAATATGATGTAGATGATGCATGATGGACATATAACATGGACATGATTGCGTGGATATGTTTTCATTCATATATTTGACATGAATATATTTTACATTGTCTATAATATATCCACATTATCATGTCCATGTTATTGACAATGTAAAATATATATCCACGTCGAATATATGAATGAAATCATATCCATGCAATCATGTCCATGTTATATGTCCCTCATGCATCATGTGAATAGATTATAGACGTTGTAAAATGTATATCCATGTCGAATATATCAATGAAAACATATCCACGCAATCATGTCCATATTGTAGACAATGTAAAATGTATATCCACATCGAATATATCAATTAAAACTAATCCACGCTATCATGTCCATGCTTTATGTCCATCATGTATCATCCATATCTTATTTTGTGAATGGATATCTAACTACATTTATGTTTTTTTAAATTTTTTTATAAATGCTTTTTGAAAAATTTCTTGTTTTATAAATAAACTATAGTATAATGGATCTTAAAATAATGAGAAAATAAAATTATGATTCATTCTAAAATAAAAATTATTTTCAATCTTTCAGAATATAGAAAAATATAAAACAAAACAGATGGGGAAAAATTTAATATTTTTAAAAATCTGGGTTTAATCGGGTATCTACTCATTTGCATCCACCGTTATCGTGAATACAGAAGGCAATTTTGGTTTATTTTTAGGGTGTTCGTATTACTGAGGGACAAAAAAGTCCAAAAAAATTTGAAAACAAAGAAAAGTCACCTAATAGCAAGAATGTAATATGAGTTGTAAAAAGTACATTTGAGTGTAAATATCTCTTTATCATATGAATAAAAGTGTGTTCTTCACCATTCTTTTTTTTTTCTGACAAAAATCATGCACCATTCTTGATAATAATTTGACATGTAATTAGTTTTTTTTTTTAAAGATTTTCATCACCCATAAGATCATCATTCTCCAAATCATCTTCATCCATCAATAAACCTTCTTCATAAGTTTTTCGGATTACACGCTCATCTTCTTCGGTCCACATCGGATCATCTTCATAGAAACATCTAAACTGTACGTCGTAATCTCGTAGAACTATTGTTTTTCACGTGCTATATAATTAACTCTGTTGTACAGACTACAGATGTCACCGCACGTGCGAATTTGTTATTGCTACACTAAAGAACTGTCTCACTCCCACCGATTCCGGTTCTCTTTATGTCCAGCCCGATTTTTTAGGTAGTTTCACTCTTTAACCAAAAGATTTGAACAGCAATTTAAATTTGAATTTTGTGATAATATTTTTTTTCTAATTTGAATCTTCGATTCAACTTTCTCTGATGATGCTTCTTAAGTATAAGCTGGACATATAAAATGACACGAGAATATTGTACCAGCTAGCTACTAGCTTACCACTAACAGAATACTAGCTTGTATAATTTATCGCTAAATCTCATTATATGGAGCAACATAACTCTATTTTGATAGCAGCTAAATCTGAATAAAGCTTTTTTCTAAACAGATGAAAGCTGGAAGCCTTACCAAAGAAAAATTGGTTTTTTCCAATCTGAACTTTGCGAAGGTGTTAAACTTATACCCCATTTTTAACCTTGCTAAAACATTCTTCATCATTTTAATAATTTCAATTTCATACCTAAACTTATTTTTTTTTATTTAAACCTACTTTCGGGTAAACAGAGTTAAATTGCCATCAAACATAATCTACATGGCATTCACATAAGCGACTATGTGGCATCGGACATACACCACCACTAGATCCTCCCATCACCGGCGGCGAACCTGAAAAAAAAACAAAATATAAACACAGAGACACAGCTTCAGATCCAGCTTAATTAGTGAGGATTGCGTCTTCGAGGTTTTACCGTTCGATAAAGAAGCTGAAACGGAAATGCTTCTCAAGCTGCTTGGTAATCTCATCATCAAATTCACCATTCTCATCGTCTTCTTCTTCTCTCCTTTCCCTTCTCTCTCAATTAAAAGATTTCGTGAAAGAAATATAAAAAAACTCAATACGACGTTGTTTAATTGAAAATGTGGAAAGATAAACTCAATGGAAACAAAACGGTTCTCGAAGCAGAGCTTCAATGGCTGTTGTCACTTCTTCTTCCTCTAAGCTGCTTCAGTAAAAATCCAATCCACAGATATTTTCTAGATTTTTGGTAGTTGGAATTTGAATTGCTAATGGCATGAGCGTTTTTGGAGAATCTTCTCCAATGGAGAATTGCTTAGGGTTCTTCCACGTATTGGTTCCCAAAGGTAAAAATTTCTCAAAAATTCCTTTTGTGTTCATATGTTTGTAACTGACTATTTTAAGCGCTCGGGCAGATGATCCATATGTTCTACTTGTGCTGCACATAATGAAGAGACGGCCGTGAAAGCTGCGGCTTCTCTTGCTGATACCGGAGCTCCGACCATGTATGGTTTCTCTTTATATACAGTTATGAAATCTGAGAATCAGTAAACCCTCTAAAGTTGGATTTTTTTGCTGAAGGATTCAGCTTATTTGGGAATACCATGTCTATATTTTTTGGAATCAATTGAATTGAAACGGTTCTCGAAGTAGAGCTTCAATGGCTGTTGTCACTTCGTCTTCCTCTATGCTGCTTGGGGTAAAACTCTAAATCTACAGATTTTGTTTCCATTTGGTTGTTGAATCGAATTGGCAAACAGAGGTTCGTTAAACATCGAGATCTTGAGATCGCAGTAGCAACACGAAGCTTCGCTTCCGTATCTCCGCCGTGTTGCAGAGGGAGGATGGAGACGTCATTGTTCTCGCCACCGTCAATGCCGGCGAGGCGGTCCCTTCCGAATCTCATCCTGAATTTTCTCACTACCGAGAATTTAACATATCCAGTCTTGTTATTTTTTTCTCAGTATTGGCCTAGATAAAAAAACGACGTCGTTAGTTTTTTTTTCATAATTCAAAAATATTAAACACGTTGTTGCTTACAGTCGCTTATGTGGATGACACATAGACTATATATAATGGCAGTTTAACTCCGTGTAAGCAAAAGTAAGTTTAAACTACCGTTAGATGAGATTAAGTCTGAAATTCAAATTATTAAGAAGATGAAGAATGTTTAGCTAAGTTAAAACTTTAGGTATAAATTTAACATTTTCGCAAAATTCAAGATGGAAAAAGCCAATTTTCCCCTTACCAAAAATAATCCATCTTTTTCAAAAAAAAGAAATATAACGTTTATGAAAACATCAAGATATAAATGAATGATATAGTTTTAAGTTTTTATAGATTTATAAGTTATAATCAACTATCAATAAATAAATAATTTGGCCACGTATAGTATACATTATTCAAAGTCATTTATAATATAGAATATTTCTTACACGTTCCTGCTAGATAATAACAAGTTTATCTATTTTTATTTATTTTGATAACATTTCATTATATTATTAATTTCGGATTCAATTTACTAAATTGATTTCAGGTTAAATCTATCAAGGTATTTCAGGATAAAGCAATGTGATCGATTAGACCATTTTAGAACCAAAACAATTCTGGTTCAGGTCAGAACAACGTGTTATCAGGATTTAGTATC